ACAACGGCGTAAAGGAGCATGTATGGCGCCACAAATACCCTGACACCACCTCGTGTGAACTCAAGTCAAATATTTCAAGCAGAAAATAAAACCATTTTGTGTTTCATTAGTTTGAATAGACAATTTAAGATTTGTGAAAACGTGCCATGGTAATTTTTAATCCCGTAAACTAATTATCGCTAAACTTTAAATTTTTTATTGTATAGTTTTATATTTTGAAAAGTGCTAGGCAAGTTTTCACACAGACTAAAATTGGGACAATTTGTTCTTTTTTATAAAATTCAATGGAATCATCAATCTTTTCACCACCAGACTTTTCCGCCCAATTTTTCAGCACTTTTTTCATAAATTCCCCAATATTTCCGGAAATGAACCCCAATTTTGGAGCCAACAGACAAAATCTTAGTCAATTATCAGTTTTTACTCAACAAAATTTACTATTTTTGTCCCAATATTCTCAAGGAAAGTCAGACTATAAACGGGACTATTTTGGGAGTTTGTGATAAAAGAGGGAACTGGTTGTGAAAAGGTTAAGATAAGTCACCTGAGTTGAGCACCCTCGTCTGATTCACTATTCATGGGGAGGATAAACAAATCAAGGCGAAATCAGGATTCAAATATTATAAATGAGATCACATAGCTCTAGTGAGTTGTTTAGTATGTGATTTTTCATGTTTCAACAATGTCAACTGACAAAGACAAATACAGCACATATGGTTATATTGACTCTATGAGCTACTCACAGGAGACGTAGATACAACGTAATGTAAACTGTTACTAGGGTCTCGAAACATGGACTGCAAATACCACAACGAAAAAGTTCAATAAAAACTACTCTTTTAAAAAAAAAATGTTTTTAGGTTCAGTGGAAAGCAGAAATGTGTACACTTGTAAATGCCTAACTCTGTTACATATGTCGCCTAACTTCACATGTTATTCATGTTATTTATTGGCTGTCATTATATTTCACATGTTTCTGCAGGACCAACAGAAAATGCCCAGCATCTCAATTGTAACACATATCCACAAGGCAGTGTAGATACAAATTGTAGATAAAAATTTAAAATATTCATAAAAGCAACGAAAATTTATGCAATAGTAGTATCCCACTCACAATCATTCACTTTACTTCACCTTGGTACAATGCCTAGGTACAATGCTAGTAATATCTCATTGTTTGAATATAGCCTAGAATCTATGCAGTGCACTCACTACTGTATATATGCTAATACACTATATGCCTATGTACAATGCTAGTAATATCTCATTGTTTGAATATAGCCTACAATCTATGCAGTGTGCCACTCACTACTGTATATATGCAACTACACTAAAGCCTAGGTACAATGCTAGTAATATCACACTAAATGTAGCCTAGAATCTATGCAGTGCACTCACTACTGTATATATGCTAATACACTATATGCCTATGTACAATGCTAGTAATATCTCATGAAAATACTATATGCCTAGGTACAGAGCTAGTAATATCTCATGAAAATACTATATGCCTAGGTACAGTGCTAGTAATATCTCATGAAAATACTATATGCCTAGGTACAGTGCTAGTAATATCTCATTACTTATTCAGATTTATACAAACATCACACATTACTGAATACCGTAACATAATCTTTGTTCATTGGTGAGTTTGAAATTTGCTCGCGGAGAATTTCTCATAATAATGTGATCTCTAGGTAATTGACAATGTTCACGTTGATAAGATTTTCAAATACTACATAGATCCTAAAACGGTGTTAAAAGGCAATAGTCTGTTTCCATTCTCTCTCACACGCCAGTGACACTCACAACCATCATGTTATCAAAATGTTATCAGCATGACGACCAATAAAGATAGTACGACATGAAGATAAGCTGGATTTAAGTATAAAAATAATCCTTAGTAAATCCCAGATTAGCCGTTATCATGCATCTTATCTGTGTTAGACACCGAGGGA